AGAGAAGCCAATTCTCCACCCCCAAGCTAGCCCAGCTCCCTGGCTACTGCCCAAGGCCCGGCCGTCATCTGCTCTGGGTAATAAGTATTTGTACAGCGATAATTACAGCATTTGGGAAGAAAATCCCATTAAGCAAGAGCCCCGCCGAGCTGCTAATGCCGGCACAGAACTGGAGGCAGCAGCTCTGCCAAACGCCGCCGTCTGCTCCCAATAATGCAGGAGCTGCCTGGCCCCACCGCCCCTCAGCCAGCCCCAAAAGAGCACTGCCCCCCCTGCTGGCAACTTCAGGCAGCCTGGGCCACCAACAGCCAGCCCACAGCCAGAGAAGGGCACCTAGAGAAGGAGCCCATGCCCGGGTGCTACCCATGGCTGCCGGGTTGGGGAGGGCTGCCTGGTGAGGGAGGAGAAGGTCCAAGTGACCCGGCACTGAGGGATACCCAAGTTTCTTCAGGTGCCTGCCATTCCCTGTCACCTTAATAACGATAACAGCCCCTGCTTATTGGCCATTTGCAGTCTGTCACCCAGGGCAATCATTTCTTATCGCCTCAGCCCCCAGGCCCATCCTATAAAGCAGGCCCTCTCGTCTCCCCCACTTTATGGGCAGGAAAACAAGAGATGTGGGAAGCACTTGCCTGCGGAGCACTTATCCCGGCTTGCAATTATGCGTTGATTCTCACATTGTGTCATTCATCTCTAGCTCCCTGCTGCACTGAAACTCGGGAAGAGAAGGACGTTTTCACCATGCACTCAGCTCAAGTCAGATTCAATAGGCAAGAGCTCTCTGTGGAATGAGTGAATTGAGCGCCGTCACAGCTGCAGAGAGCAGAGAGAGGCAGCTCAGCTGCAGAGCTGCGCGCCACCACCTCACTCTGCTGCCCCTGCTCCTCACTCCAAGTCCAGGGAGGAGAGGACAAAGGTGCCGTGTGTGGGAGCTCCCGCTCTGGACAGGCAGAGGCCAGGACAGTAGCCTGCAGCCCTCATGCTAAGGTCCCTTCGAACACACCCAGACCCTCAAGCAAAAGCTTGGGCTTCTCAAATAGAGGCAATATCGAGACCTGTTTGGATCAAAATCACATGCACAAACAGCAAGAGGGAATCCTTGCCAAGATAATAGATGTTAACTCCAGAGGCCTGGGAGGGACAGGCCACCAGCCACCTGCCAAGCACAAAGCCACACCCTCTACATGCAAGGCTTCCCTCACTTACTCCTCACTCAGCCTGCGGAGCTGCCACTGCCCCCTTTTACTTTCAGTAATGGAATGTTGTAGCAGGTGGGAAGATAGTGCCAGGACCCAAGCCCAGCATTCAGAGCCCAGCAATAAGCCCAGCCCACTGGCTACTGTATCAAAGCCTGCAGCAGCAAGACAGCCACGCTACCAGGAGGTCACTCCCCAGTGCAGTGCAGGGGCCGGGGAGATGGCTCAGTGGAATAAGTGCTTCCCTGGCAAGTGCAATGGCCTGAGTTCAATCCCCGGTTCTGAAAAAACAAACAAACAAACCAGTGCAATGTAGGTTCTGCTACAGAACACCACACCAGGCTGCCTAGAGAGTCCAGGCCAGCCAGGCTATGGAAACAGATAAGGCCTCAGTGGTCACTGGCCTCACTCACCGCAGCCACCACACAGTCATTATTTGGCATTACAAACAGGCTTGCTACACCATCAGAGCTGGGATGCCCTGGGCAGCCAGCCATCTTTGGATGTGATCCCCTAATTCTGTGAGTGGGACGTGTAGCATCAAGGAGCTGAAGCCAGGGGAGAAATGGCCTCTGTGGTATGCACCACGCCAGGACAGGGTGAACAAACAGGCCAGTGGACAAAAAGAGGACAGCAAGCGAGCAGGTGCCCTGGGCGCAAACAGAAGCAGCAGGCGGACCTTCCCAGGGGTCCTGTCCCATTGCTCAGGAACCTTAGACCATCTTCCAGGGAGCAAGGTGGATGGATGCCTCTCCCCTCCGAAGCTGTAGGGGAATCTGTGACAAGCCCAAAACACAAGTGCTCGGGGTACAGGAAGGAAACAGAGGAAAGACATCTGAGTCCAAAAGATTTTTTAAATTAAGAAAAAGAAATCCAACAGAAAGTCATGGTCCTTGAGTGGAAGGGCAAAAACGTTAATAGTGGTCATAGCTGGCCTCCCCCATGCCTGGCCCCACAAAGCAATGACATTTCCGAGGCCTCTTGCAGTACCTACCCCAACTCTGTACTTTAAATTGTTCCTCTATAGTGAATTATTTAGCATCCCTTTCCCTCCCGGCCCGGGAACCCACAGTCCCTCTGGCTGCACCCACTTCCTCAGCAGTTCTAGGGCCCACAAAACCTCTTCCTGGAAGTTCCCAAAGCAAACCAATGACAATTTCTTCCCATGTGAGGGCACAGCTCTGGACCTGGGTTATGAATATATGATCATAAAACTTCCCAGGCTGTCATAGAAGTGGCCCAAAGGACAAAAGGAAATGTGCATCTGCAATCTATAAAAATTTGCAGCCTCAGAGCAAATCTGCTTCAGGCTCAGACGCTGCACAACACCTCCATTGATTAGAGAACACGTGCCAGTTGTTTCGAGTCTGCCTGGCTCTCACCGAGGCCTCTATCGGATGCTCACACCCTCCTCCAGTGGCAATTCCAGGGCCTGCTTGGTGACAGCCAGGCTCACGTCTTTCCCTCTCCCCCTCTGACCTCAGGAACTTAGCCCACTTAGCAGAAATTGTACCTCCTCCCACTCCCCCATAAGGCTAACTGGCTGCTGGAGTCCCACCCAAAAGTCCCCAAAGGAAAAGTCCACATAGAGAAGGAACTTCTTGGCCCTTTCCAGCCCCAGTCCCTCCCCACCCACTGGAACATCATGGTTTAACCCCAGGCCCACCCAGAACTCAGGGCTTGGTACCATGCGGCTACTTCTGCCAGCATTGCCTGCCCTCCCTGCTTTGCAAAATTCCACCCTGATAAAATGGCTCATCCTTTGAGAATCCCCCTCAACTCAGAAAAAGGCTTCTCACACTCAGGACCCCACAGCCCCATTACATTGCTAGCCTGGCTCTCTCCAAAGAGATTATAGTTAGGGACACCTGACCAGTCCTCCAGATCACACGGCCCTTGCAGAAAGGACAGGATCACTCCCTACTGAAGCTTCACACCCTGGGCAGTTCCTCTTGGTCAACATTTTCTGGATTACATTCATGAGACTTCTCTCCCTATTTCCTATCTTAATAAAGCAGAGTCTAGCAAGCAAAAGGACACATCTATTTGTTACTTTCCATCCTCATATGAACCAGAGACAAGATATATCATCAGCCCCATTTTCCTGATGGAAAACAACTAAGGCTCAGAGGAGTCTACTGGGTACCGTCAGCCCAACTCCTTCTTCTGTACTAAGGAACTTACTTCCATTCCACAGCTTGCAAAAATTAAAGGGTTCATGAAAGCCAAGACAGACACTATCCTAAACAATAAGATCCCAAAGCAAAAGAAAGGGGTTGATACATCTCAGATCTAAGCTGCTGCCAGGGTAACAGCTGCAGAAGAAGAGCCCCAGTGGACAAGGCCAAGGGAACAGGGAATAGGCCCAGAGGGAACGGAATAGAGGGTGACCTGGTGACCTCAGGGGTCCCCTAGGCAGATTTCTGGTGCTCAGTTCCTTCCCAGGTCCACACGGGATAATGCGCAGGCTGCCCCAAGGAAACCTGACTGAGTTCCGTCTCTCCCCATCCCACTTCTTCCCAGCCTCACAATACGAATGTACCCAGAGACATACGCATCGATTCCCACCTAGATTGCATGCAGATTGCAAATTCTCTGAAACCTCCACGGGAATGTTCCTGACTCAGCCGAGAAGAGCTGGCAGCAAGCGTGTGCTCGCTAATTGCCAGCTGCGCTTCAGGGTTGCTCCAGCTCTCCCCGGGGTCGGTTGCCTGCCTCTGACCAGCTAGGAGCCATAAAAATGCGCTCAAAAGTTATCGAAATGTGAGTGCCTTTCCTGAGAGCCCCTGACTCACCTAGGCCTACAGGAAGGAGGAGTAGGCAAGTTTCAAAGGATTCAGGGCAGCTTCCTCCAAAGGCTTGAAAGTCCCCATCAAAAGTCTCCTGGTGCGGTCACCTCAGTGAGCAGTTCAAAGGCTCCCCCTGTGACCACAGATCTACGCATCATATGCAGGCTTTCATGGGCCCACACTACAGAGGGGTCTTGTAGATACCAGGAATGCACACAGAAGAATGGCAGAAAACAAATTGCACAGGTCTTTAAATACACACCCTGCAAAGCTCAGAGAGTCTAGAAAGGCTAGCTTCCTCAAACTCAGAAGTGAGAGAGAACAGGGGAAGAGAATGGTGTTTTTCATGACTTGTCACCATCAGCGTCTTTGACCTCGGGTCTCTGCTCCAAATTGCTGACCTCTCAGCATTGTCCAGGAGGTTCCCAGTGCGGGACACAACCACCCCCTCCGGGTGCCCAGAGTAACTGTGTTCCAGGCTCCAAAGCTTAAGCCCGCCCGAAGGCGGCTGGACTGGGGGGAAGAGCAGAAAACACCTGCAAGGGGGCAGTTTTCAAGGCTCTGGGACAAACAATGGAGAGCGAGGAGGAAATCAGAAACTTTGACTCCCAGGCACTGCGCTGCCCAGCGGCGGGCAGGAAGCCTTCGGAGCCCAAGCGAGGCAACCACTCAGAACGCAGCCTGAGCCCTATGCATCCAGAAGGAGACAGTGTGCCTAGCAAGCGTGGGAAGGTTCTCTCCTGGGTGTCAGGACGCCGGCTGGCACGGATGCGCAGGCACCCTGGGGGAAGAAAGTGCTGGCGCAGTGGGCAGGGCCTGCAGCCCAGGGCGCAGGGTGCAGGTGTGAGGGGGGGCCGGCTCGCCAGGGTCCTGGGAGTCGGCGGCGCTCCCGGCTCCTAGAGATCTTAGCAGGCACTGAATCGCCTGCTGGCCGCGGGACCCACGCCCCCACCCCCGCCGCGCCCGTGGGCGGGAGAGCGACCCCGCGGCCCGGCGGGGCGGGGACAGTACTCACAGGCGCTCGGTGCTCCTCGGAATGTTCTTGGGCACGGCCTGCAGCCCCGTGCCGTGGCAGTCCACCGTGGTCCCCGTGCAGGTGCAGAGGGCGGGGCACGCCGTGGCCCCCAGGCGCCACGCGGCAGCCCACAGCAGCAGCCAGAGCTCGGGCCGGACCAGCCCCGCCGAGGACCCACGCCCGGGTGTCAGCGCCATGGTGCCCTCCCGCGCCCTGCTAGCGTGCTGGACGGCAGCAGGCTCCGGGCATCCCCGTCTGGGGCGCGTGCAGGTGCGGGGCCCCTCGCGGTCGGCCAGAGGCACCTGGCAGCTCCCCGAGCCGGCGCCCGATCGCGGCCGCCAGGAGGGCAGGGCGCTAAGCTCTGCTTGATTCTCGCCGATCGCGCTCGCTCTGCCTCGCTCCAGCTCCCAACTGACTGCTGCGACGAGGAAAATGGGCAGGCCCCGCGCGCGCCACCCGCGCTCGCACACACACTCACACACACACGCACACACTCACCCGCACGCCCGCTCCCACCCGGCAGTCATCCATCAATCGAAAAGCACACATCGGGGCCAGGCTCCTCCCCGCCCTCCGCGTGCGCAGACCACCGCCCCCTCCTCTGACCACCGCTTGGCGACAGCGACAGTTTCAAAGGTGCAACCTCACAGATGCCGCCAGCGAGCAGGGGGCTGCGGGGACGTGAGGGTGGCCTGCCGGTGGGCTACACACACACACACACACACACACACACACACAACACACACACACACTGTGAGCGTGAGCACTCTCAGACGCAGGCACCCGGAACTCGTGGCCCAGCCACTGGTCCTAACCAGAGGATCTTTTTTTTTTTTTTTCCTCCCAGCTTAGAGACCTCTGCTATGGCCAGAGACATGCGTTCTCCTTGACTAAAGAGGCCCCTGACCCCACATGGCCTCTCTAAGGCCCTGCTAGGAGCTCCTTTAGCCTTAGACCCTTAGGACAAAGCCTTGGGGAAGAGAGACAAAAAGTCCCACAGCCAAGGACAGTCCCCTCACCTCCCTCAACACAATTCCCCCCAAGATGGCAGCGCCCTGCCTCTCCAGGGGCCCTGAAGCCGCACTGCGAGATGAGAACTGCACCACGCTGGACATTTTCTCCCCAGGCACCTCACTAACTTCACTGATGGGAGTATCAGGGCGCTTGGAAATCCAACAAACACCTTCTTCAGCTCCCAGCGATGCCCCTGCTTGTCTGCCAGGTGGAAGCATGAAAACCAACATCCAATCCTGTCACTGAAGGCTGGCAAACAGGGTAGAAAAGAGAGAGGTGGCCTGCTTGGGAGAGAAACTCTGGCACCCACTTAGGACTCCAGGCCGTATTCCCCAGAGCCTTTCCTTACTTAGGTCAATGAGCAACAGGGTGTGCACAAGAAATCCAGATGAGAAAATTGCCCACAACTGTAGGAAAGGTGAAGGGCAGCCCCCAGTTCAAGGACACCGGTGGCTAGTGGTCATTGCTATAGAGGACCTAACCCATCAATCGGGGCCTGGCTGCCCACAGGCTGGCGGAAGGGAGTGCCGGAGTGGCTCTGGACAAGCCTGCCATCAGGGAACAACCCTAAGGAGCCCCCAGAAGAAAGTGGCACAAGAGACTCAGGCACCAGATGCAGGCTGTCACAGGCTGTGGTGGTGAGATGTGGGTAGATGCCACAAGATTAGAGCCGTATCGCCCCCCAGAGCCAAGGTTCAGGGTTTCTCTTCACAGCTGCTTCTTCCTCTTCCTCCCCCTCCTCCTCCTCCCCCTCCTCCCTCTCCTCCTCTCCCTCCTCCTTTTGGATGAACAGGTTGCAGTGTCTCTGCTGTCAATAACACATAGTACTGTGGTCAGTATGTCACCACCAACATGACTGATTTTACTGGCTTTTCACAGTTCCTGGGGCCAGGGAGATGGCACAGTGGAATAAGCGCTTCCCTGGCAAGCGCAAGGGCCTGACTTCGATCCCCAGTTCTGCAAAAATAAAAACAAAAACCACAATTCCTTTGACAGCAAGCACACAGCCTGTCTGAGCCCTCCATCCTGAGCTGTGAGCTCCGGAGCATCAATTCACTAACTCAGGAGGAGCCTTTTTCAGATGTCCTTGCTTGGCCTGTTACAAGGGAACTTCCCAGAGGCCAGGCCAGTGCCTGGAAGGGACACCTGCCTCTGCCCTCTGCCTGCAGACTCCAGCTCTTCTGATGGCGCCCCATTAGGCAGAGCAAATCCTCACTCCTGGTACCTGCTGCTTTGTCTACCCCTTTTTAGTTGGAGCTGTTTACACCTGGGCTTGCTCTCTAACACCTTGGGGCGGAGCCCCACCCCTACCTGCTCCCTTTTTGCCACTTCCTGCTCCCTGACTTTGGAGCTTACCCCCAGAACCGGGCACTTAATAGGCCTGTCACCGGCGGCACCCAGATTTGAAGACGCCTGGTCTCCAGTCTTCTGCTCCAGGGGTGCCTCCGCAGTTCCATGACCTGCGGCCCTGGAAGCCAAGGACTTATGTGGGGAAGAAGAGTGTTGATTGACCAGAAGCTATCCCTGGGGTCCGCAGAGTAGCAGGGGTGTGAGGAAGGATGGGTATGCACACAGTGCAAGATCAGCTTTGCCCATGGCTCCTTAGAGCCAGCCCCTAACCTAGAAGCTTCCAGACTGGCCTGGACAGTGAATCCCAAGCAGGCCTTAAGCCAAGTTGTCCCTGCTTTGCAAAGCCTGGCATTTCCTTTGAAGGGAGGGAAGGAAGGAGGGCCCCTCAGACCCAGGACAAAGACTCCCCCGCCAGCCCATCACAGAGGCCCTGCCCCAGCAGCCGGGCAGCTCCCCAACTTGGCTTCCATCCCTGGTTCCTCCACCCCAGAACCTGGCGAGCTCCCCAATTTGGGAAGCAGCCTGCCATGAATGAACACAGCTCATTAGTGTTCCCAGCACATCTACTTGTTAAACAACCGCCTGGCCAGCCACACGCCCCAACCCCCACCACCACCGCAGCAGCCTTTGCTTTTTCAGTTTCCTCTCCCATGTCCCTCCCTCTGCTGGGCCGGCCCCTCCTCACAGCCCCAGCCACCTGCTCCCTTGCACGGGTGGGGAGGAGCAGGCCTGATGCACTGCTTCTGCTAGTCATGCTCCACCCAGCCAGCTCTGCCCACAGTCACCAGCAGGGCAGCCCGAAAGGGACACCTGGGGTCAGGTTCCCATCTCAATGGTGTGAACCTCCGTAGAGCCCCTCAGTTATGTGCAGCAGGCAGTCAAAGGCCACCTGCTGCCTGGGATTCGGAGAGAAAGCACCCTCCTTCCAGCTCTGTGCATGGTCCTTCCCCCACCTTCACCAGCGGTTTCCAGGGGGCCCAGATGAGGAGAAAGAGAGGGCATGGTGGTCTCCAAACTGTAAAAGACAAAATGAGGTGGGGTGTCTGCCATCCACTAGCCACGCCATGCTGGCCGTCCCACTCACTGCCAATCCGTACTGTGTACACTGTACTAGGAACCTGTAACTCATCAGAGGGAAAGAACAGACCTGGCCCCCAGAGAGCTGCAGCCCAGGGAGGGGACAAAAGGGGACAAAAGAGTGAGTGTGGTGAGCGTTAAGGGACAGCCTAGAAGAATAGCCAAGGAAGACCTGGGGCGCCACAGTGGCAACGCCATTATGTGATTATTTGTGTAAAGTTATCACACACTTATCACATACCTTGTGCTTGAAAAAAATGTACCCTATTGTGTCCCTTACTCACATTTGCCGTGTGCTGACCTTGTCCCTCTCCCAGAAATAAAGGCCAAGACCCTGATTGGCCGAGCCCACACCAAAACAGTTTGCCCCTGTAAGTGCGAACACACCTCATACTCACCCGGCACCCTGGCCGGGAGACCCCCTATCCTGGAGAAGCCCTCTGCTGCTGAAATAGTTTTTTTGGGCTTTCTTCATATTTGCCACACTTTAAATAAGCTTTTGCTTTGCACTCTACCAGTCCTGAGTCCCCTATCTCTCACTAAGAGCCTCACTCCTCCATTCTTCTTTGGAGTGAAGGCAAAGACAGGAAGAGAGGTGGGGATCACTCAGACACCCCCGGCCCCTGCCAAACACAACAGAGCGATGATGACATGATGATGTGGGTGCAGCACTGCAGGGAAGCTAGGTAAAGATGTGGGGCAGGCCGGAAGGCGCCCTGGGAGAAGGCCCTCTAGCTGAACGTAGGATGATAAGCAGGCATTGAAGCAGAAGGACCGCGTGCCCCGCAGACAGGACTGCAGGCGGGGGAGGCTCCTCCATGCCAGGCCCAGGGGGGAGCGTGAAGGGACTGACAGAGGAGAGCCAGCCCAGGGCCCGGGTGCAACCATTTCTGGGTTTTCTGGGTCCTTGGCATCACTTGGCCCCTCGCTCTACCCAAACACATGCCTGTGTATGGTGTGCTTGGACCTCGACTCTTCAGGGATCCAACGTGTCTGGAACTTGAGGAGCAGCTTGCAAACTTGCTTTCTGCAGTCCCAGTTTTTCTGGCATCAGGGATCCATCTTACGGAAGACAATTTCTCCACAGGAAGGAGGTACTTTTTGGGGTTTTTTTGGGGGGGGTTGTTTGGTTTTCATTTTATGTATTTGGTACAGGGTCTCACTATGCAGCTTGGACTCCTAATGATCCTCCTGTTTTCAGCCTCCCCAGTGCTGGGATTACAGGTATGTGCCACCACGCCCAGACCCATTGGCCAGCTCAGCATGCCCCGGGGACAGGGCCAACACAGCATGCCAGACCAGGGATCAAACCCTGGTCCCTGCACTTAACCAAAGCAGGCGCTTAGTCCACTGAGCCATCTTGCTGGCCCAGGAGGTACTTTTTGAATGAGTCAAATGCATTAATTATTGCGTACTTTATTTCTATTATTATTCCATTGTAACAATATAATGAAATAATTAGGACTCACCATAATGTGAAGCAGCGGGAGCCCTGAGCTGGTTTCCCTGCAGCAGGTCTGCAGTGGCCCTCCCGTTACTTACCTTGTCCACCCTTGCCTCTTTCCCACCCTGAATACTTGTCTCAGTTTTGGTAAGCTATGAGCTAACACTCACACCTGAAGTGTGTTCTTAGGTCTACTCCATAACCTTGTGGCTGTCACTGGAGAAATCCCACTTCACAAAGACAGGACATTGGAAACCACCTGCTCCCCTCTGCCTTGTGTGTGCATGGAATGGAGCTGAAATGTACTAACTCTAATGTCCATATTACTTCTGGCCACTTTCAACTGGTTGCTTTTTCCCCTCATTGTGGGTCATAATGTCCCATTATTTTGCATTCTGGTAATTAAGATTGATGACAGAAAATTGTGGAGGTTACTTTGTTGGGTGCTGCATATTCTTGTATT